AACCCGATAACGGCCGCTATTTGCCGTTATATTGCAGAGATTTATTTATGGACTGCCTTCTGAATGTGGTTCTGTTGATTCCATTAGCGATGTTTAGCTGCTTCAGAGCATAATTATAATCACAGAAATGAGAAAAAGGCGAAAACAACATTTGCAGGAATAGAAGAAAGTAGAATATGTGATCAACGCACCACTCAATTCATCTGGCACATAAGTTTTGATAACGATATGCACGAATAACGCAGACAAAATCATTGTCAGGTTGGATTCTGTTCGAAGCGTGATATGACGATAACCAGCCTGCAGACCATCCAAAGGTAATATACGTTGTCCCAACTGCTTGCCGTTCTCATCGTAAACCGCAAAACGAAGTACCGCTAATTCGGGCAATACTACCTGAAATTGAAAAGAACTCAATTGCTGATAAATTTTTACGCTCAGGCTCAAAGAATGAAATCATAAATGCGAAAAATCGATGAACTAGTATTTTCCTAGTGAGATCCCACTACAGTTCTGAACTGCTTTCATCATCATAACAGTCGATGCTTTACTTATGGAGTAGTATAGAATGGTAATTGAACCTTTCGAAAGACGAAGGGATCACTATTATAGACCGGATTGAGCGCATTGGCTGGCACGGTTCGAGTTCGATGCTCTTTTCGAATTGTATCAGTTGGAAGACCGTACATTTCCACTTCTACATAGGTGCCTACTTTTCGATCACACAGAAAGTGACCAGATATTACCTGTAATAAGCATTATTGATATTAAAGGCCTACAACTGCATAAATTCAATATATCATCCTCAATAGGAATCATTCGTCGAGAACTGGAACACCAGTATTACAGACGTGTACAGATAATCTGACCAGAATGTTGACAGTCGCTATGACATTATATCAGAGGATGGCTATGTCAAACATATCGAAAAGTAATTGATGTGATATTCAAGAATTACACATTTTCAACACATCCATCAATTCATGAATATCCACTGATCAAATCATGTATCACAAACCTTAACAGAACAATGAGCGGCAATGACGCCGTCAACC